GCTTGCTTCACGGTGAAAAGTGTTAATTATCAAAAATTAGCGTTTTTCTCGCTAATTAAGCAAACTGATGCCAGCAGATAAAATATGTGAAATTAAATCCCTGACACTTTTTATTCAGGGCTCGCAGATCTAGGGTGTCCTGCTGTTGAGAAAAGTAGTAATTACGTGTTTTTTTTGTTTTTTGTCGCTAACGCTCGGGAGGACGCGTACGACGATGTCGCTCGCCTACTGCGGACGGTCGGACATTTCGTTTGTATGACCCAAGACTTTCAGTCAAGGGAACAACTCTGTGTATATTTATATGGACTGGGCCATGAAGTGGCTGCCCGAAAAGTATCGAGAAGGTCAGACTTACTTCTTTGGCAAGCGCGGCATCAGCTGGCATATCAGTGTGGTTGTGCGTAAGAATGATCAATCAATTTCCAAAATGGATGAGCGTATCGATGAGGATGCATCTACTGAGGACGAAAACGCATATAGCTGTCTGATTATCGTTCATGTATTCGATCACTGCGTCCAGGACAGCGAGACCGTCGTGGCTATTCTTCGTGACGTACTAAAACGTGTTGATGGTAGCATAGACAATGCTTTCATCCGATCCGACAACGCTGGTTGCTATCACTCAGCCCAAACTGTTCTCTCGCTACCTCAAATCTCGTATGAAACTAATATTCAAATTCGGCGACTTGACTTTTGTGATCCTCAAGGAGGTAAAGGTCCTTGTGACCGATATGCGGCTGTGATCAAGTCGCATGTGCGCCGTTTCCTCAACGAAAAACATAATGTGACAACTGCAGCCGAATTCGTCGAAGCCACCTATGCCAACGGAGGCGTCCGAGGAGTTTACGCATACGAAACCCGACTGGGCAAGCTGGCCAACGGTCCTGCTTTCCAGTTTCCCAAAATTAATCTCGTCAACAATTTCTCATTCGAACGGTATTCGCGTGCATCGGTCCTGGAAAGTAGGCGATGGCAAACTCATTGTATATTCGAAGCTACAGCAACCAAAAAGTGTGAGTACCATCGTATGTAGCGATACACCTAAGGGCAAGACAATTCCATTCACTAAATCGGAGCCCAAGAGCAAACAATATCATTTGTCGAAACCGCATACCGGCACACACGAGGCCGCCCATGTTAGTCGCTTATTTGAATGTTATGAAGAGGGATGTGTCAAAACGTTTTTGCGTCAAGGAAATCTTGTGAACCATCTCGTTGCCGGCAAACATCAGCGTCTACCAGAACGCCTCTCATTGCGAGATACTGGAATGCAGATTTATGCATCAAAACTCGAGAGAATTGGTCAGAGAGAGCTTGTCTCTGTTGTTCTTCGAAACACCACCGATGCCGTCCACCTCGACTCACAAAGTCTCAAGTTGCCGGAGGGCTGGGCACTTCCAAAAGCTCGAAAGGTTGTACGACTAACACCGAAGCAGATCGAGTATTTAACTAACAAGTTTAATGACGGCATCAAAAACAATACGCGGTGGAAACCGGAAGCCGTAGCCGCTGAAATGGAATACCTCAAGGACAAGGGTATCTTCATCTTTGCTGACAATGAATTACTGAAGGCTAGTCAAATTCGCAGTTACTTCTCACGGCTCAAATCCAATCGGCAAATCAAGCTCAGAGTCGAACAGTGCGACAATGAGGATGTCGAAGCATTCAAGGAAGAACAAGCCATCGATGAAGCGGTTCAACGGCAACAACTTCGACATAAGGTCCATACTATGGATCAATTTGAACTCTCAATATCGCCTAAGCGATCTAGCTCGTCATCAGAAATACCCGCGAAAAGACACTCACTGCGCAAGAAGAAAACTTGATTTTTTTTCAATAAAACTCATTAAGAAGTAATCCTAAAAGCCTCCGTAGGAAATCCTCGCCATAAGCGACCTTAGTTTCATCATGATTTGTCATCAGGAAGTGGAAAAAAGGTGATGTGCGCGATTTTTGCTTTTCGGTTGCGCTAGTCACTCTCAGTACTTTACATTTTTGGTCACCTTGCCAACACTTAAAAAATACAAACTATAGTGCATCTTGTAGAGAATTGAATTCTCTACAAGATGAAGCTATAAAATTTCTAGTGAAAAGATATCTAGTAGTGGATTTTTACCAAATACTTCACCAATTCATTGCTCCATTTTCTATGTTGGGCATGGTTTCGGACCTTTTCGAAGCCTAAATAGCATGATCGAGACATGGAAAATACTGCATCTTGTTCAGTTTTTCCCGCTCTTTCGAATGAGATGTCATTCAAAAAAATCGATCGAAAATTGGCTGAAAACGAGGTGAGAGAAAACATGGCTTGTTTTTGAGAAAAAGTTGAAAAATCGGAAACAGGCCCGTTTTAATCAAAACGCCATATCTCCGTCAAAAAACATTTGTTTCGTCTAAAAATTTGGCTACAGAGGTTTCTCAACATGCGCTATCGAAAGGACATATCGAAATTGAAATTTGAGATTTGACCATATGATGCCTCTCTGGCAGAATGCTCGATTTTCTCATGGAACCTCTCTTAAGTAATACAACGTAATCTATTGCCAATGAGATCTAAAGATTTTATTTGTTGTATAATATTATTCCAAAATAAATTTTGATTTGGATGAACACTACCAGGCTGCACGCGCAAGATGATAATAGCACTGCTGTAGTCACGAAATAGCAGTGATATTTCCGCCAGGGTGCAATATACCAGGTATAAGGATCTATTTCCAACTTTATCAGTGGTGCGCCGTTGATTTGCAGAATAAGTGTCAACTGACGTTGTTATGATATTATCAATGGTAACCGCAAGAAACGGTACCATCTGGCATATCCGATGCTAAAAATGGTAGGTGAGTGTGTCTGTGCTCATCATGTCAGATAACGTTCAGCTACATTCCTTATTTCGCATATATATACATATATATATATATGTATATCGTCATTTCATATTAATTCGACAACATTCATCAACGGTCACCAACATATACTGTCTTATGGTGAATGCACAGCTCAACAATAATAATTCACTTTTTTGGTCAATGCAAATCAACAGCTTTTGTTTAACGAGGACAATCTTAAAATTAGAAATGGAAAAGCAAGATTTTTGAAGAAAGGGTAACAGATGAAACCTTTCGCGATCTTTCACAACTTAAGAAGTTGGCTCAAATGTGTCTTTTTACGCTAATAAACAGTATAACTTTTTCTGTAGAAGTTTGTAGATGTTCATTTTGTAACTCATGTACACTACATCCCGGTACTTCTCTTTCTTTGTCTGTCTTTCACTGTTCTTGTACAATACAATCTTCGCTGTTGAAATTCGATGACTCATTTTTGCACATAATGATATCTGATTGCGCCAAATGGTGTCGCTAAAGATCGGCTGAAAAATTTAATGCTTCAAGTTCTCCCCCCTTTTGTTCTTTTTTGTTTCTTCCTTGTACGTTCAGGACAAGAAGGACAATCATATTTCGCAAACTATCATCAGATCAAGTATTTCCATTGCAAATAGGGGTCAGTAGTCTCTCACACACTCTTTTGTTGAGATAGTTATCCTTTTCTGTCGGGATTTTTCGTGTCTTTGCTCCCCTGAGGCAAAAATTATCGTTCGGAATGAGCGTGTGAGTGTGCAAGCAAGTTTTCAGATTTCACTAACTAATTTTCCACGACATATTGACATATTGTTATACAGAAGAAACTCGAATATCTGTATTCCCTGCAGTTTGACGCTCTTGTAAGTCCACAACGGAAGAGAAGAAAAACCGTCCAGAGTTACTACTAACACGGATGAAACGAAGAAAAATTTGATTGAACTTACCCCCCTATCAATGAACCACTCACTAAACTAAAACTCCAATACAGGTGAGTTATGTATATGACAAGGTTGAAAAAAATAAGATCACAGTAATCCTGGACTAAGTAACAATAATTGAGTCTCGAGTCGAGTCATGAGTCATTTTCTTTTCTCCGATGGGAGTCGAAAAATGAATTGATTTGTCCATCTTTGCGGTAAAAAAACGGTGATAATAAATCAATTCGACACCTAGCTTTTCATTAAGTTCAATAAATCCTTTTATGAAGGACATGTTTAATATACAACTCTTTTAAACCACTCATACCGCTAAAATCTGCAGGTGTCAGATCGAATGCATTCATTGTACCCATCTTTTTCAGTGCATTATTGGCTACAAAATCATAAGTGAATTTAAACCTTGGTAACAGCAAATAGACTTCTCTTTCTTGTACACGTCGATCTCTTTCTAAGTAACTTTAAAGATAATATTGATTCAGCATCAGCTAATTTACACCTTTGTCGGGCGATATAATGACAAAGGCGAAGTCAGTGTCGTATCTTTCGTTTTATACTTCATAGAAAGGATTCGAGCTCCTAACTCGTTTTTTAGCATTCATATAATGATACTTTACATGTTGGTACATCAACGGAACTTTTGATATTTGTCCATTTTCAAGATAAAAATTCTTTTCTTCGATTTCACTCTTATCAAACCCTTTAAGCCATTCATCTGTTATAAAGCAAGTACAAGATATGTCAATTTACACTGAATTCTAGATATTTATAAACGCAAGCTTCAGGCAAAGTCAGACATAAAAGAGCGCTGACTGACATCCAAAAACTCTAAAGAAAAGATCAGATCTCTACTGAACTTAACAAAATTCAATTTCTAGCTGAGCAAAAGAAAGCAAACTTTTGCTTATACTCTTAAAAACATACAACATTTAAAAATGCGATTGAGAATTCTTTGGAAGCTTCTTTTTACACATAAAATATAGACGAATACAAATTTACAGTTTTTCCTAATAAGCTTATTATTTTCACCCAACATGTTTAGCACAATGTTATTGACCGAACGATAGTCGATCCGTAGAAGAGAATACTGTAAATTATTATGCTACTTGAAGTGTAAACTATTATCACATTTGCTGTGATTATGATGCCGCTCGGATATTTTAGTGTAGAAAAAATGCAGAACTCTTTAGTTTTCTCCAGATACACAGAAATATATTTTAATTCTTTTCGGTTATTTTTTTCTGATTTATTATTCATAACACTGAACTGGAATGAAGCAGGCGGAGCGAGTAGATTATTACGAACTACACTTCTCCATAAGCTACTCAAAAAGCATCGAACAATGAATGAGCATATCCCGAAGAGGATAACATCCCGATCAAACTATTATGTATGCCCATGTGGAAATTTTGATACCCTCCACGATGTGAACACGGGTTGAAACATTTTCCCACGTGTGTACACGGCAAAATAGTCTTGTTTTTCAGAATTCTACGTGCGAAGACGTGTGGAAGATAATTTT